TATATATATATATACTATGTAACTATATCCTCACCCCTGACTATTCGTCATCATTCGTCTATCAATTATTCTCCGTCTACTATATTCACACGTGAAAGCAACGTATCTGTCCACATTTTCATCACCGTCAAAGTTCGATACACTTCTCTATCAATCGGCACGTGAAGAAACGTCGGAACAGAGCTCACCTGACAGAAACTCCCAGCGCTTTCTCTCCGTGTCGGACTCCAACGCGTCGAAAACCGCCGCGCCGATCAGCAAATAAGTGAACGTGCACACTACCAACGACAGAGTCCTGACATTCTGCCTCTTCATCTTCGCGCAATCGTCGGTCAATCACGAGAACCGATCGGCTCGCGTCGAAGAGCCGCGAATCCCGGCACACACCTCGCCACCCGATCCGTGTTCGTCGACTTTCTTCTTTCTTCCCCCCGCCCCCTTTTCCCTGTTTCTACGCACTCGGCCGCACGAACACGCACCACACGTCGCTCATGCTTCTCGCAGATCCGCACGAACAAGAAGCAACATTGTACCCTCTCTTTCCTTTCCTCTTTTTTTTTTTTTTTTTTCTTTCTTTTGTTCGCGCAACGCTATCGATTCATCGACGACATGTCACGAAGAGACTGAGAGATTCGAGCGAACGTAGACAGACGCGTGCACGATGAGGCGAAGGACAACACCGGACGCCAGACTCCACTTCGACGACGCTCGACACACGGCTAGGGCAGAGTATTGATCCACCGTCAGCTCCATGGAAACGTGGCCCAGTGTCGTTGCGACGTGATTGGCTATCGGTAAGAGCGGTTTTCCGTAACAGTGGAACGAGTCGGCAAATAGTCAGGCGGGGAGGCTCGTCGTTGAAACTGGATAAAGGAAGCTCACAAACGAAGTATCATGTCGTCATGACTTTGGCGACTGGTAAAGTAGATTTAATGATAAGGTTGTTTGTCAACGCTCGGACGAGTTATGCTTCCATTACGGAGAGTAATTGAACTCCCTGGCATTTCCACGTATTATTTCAGAGTTTTAGTAACTCATTTATAACAATTAAATTATTTCATTTACAATACCGCAAAAAGATAGCTGTGCAGCTGTAACTTGAAAATTAGTACCATGAAAGTGTAAATTTTCAACGAGCAAAAAATTAATTATTTATCTCGAGAACCAGAAGATATACCTTGCTGAAAATTCGGATTTTGAATCACGAGAACATGACTCTCGTTAATGAAAACAGATCACTTAAAAACTTGTATAATTAAATAAACCATGTTACCGTCAGTAAATAGCATCGATATCTTGCAAATAATAGTCACGAGAATTCATTAAAAAATTATCCATTAAAAAGTACCAGTTATCGATAAATATGTCAATTTCCAGTAGTACGAGTCGACCATTGGTCAGACTGTGACTCTACGAGCTCGCCAGTGGATCGGCAAAACCATTTCAACTACTATAGATAATTCAGGAATATTTTTATCGATCGGGAGGGTTAATAAAAAGATATTTGTATTACTTGCTCTTGAGGAGAACGTGTCAATTAAAAGAAACTTGCCACTTAACTCGCAGAGTTACCAGTTTAACTTCCCGGAACTGGCACACGTGTGTAATCGAATCACTGGCGCTCTACGAGGCAAGTGAAGCTTCGTTGTTGCTTATGCAATTATTTCCTGCTCATAAACCGTGATTGTTTCCTTCAAAGTTCCAACCTTCACGAAGAATCAAAGATCGTGTCGTCGATACTTTTCGTCAATTATTTCAATCGTGTACGTTTTATAAAAAATATTTTTCAGTTGTGGTCTCTTCGAACTGTCTGTGTCGAGAAGCCAGTGAATCGTGCAAACAGAGAATCGAATATCGTGTGATATTCAAGACGGAATTTCCTTCGAGCAAGAAACAAGACCCGTGGGAGTTGAGGGGAGAAAAAATGTACAGCGGTAACTTTGAATCTGGGTTAAAGGTGAAAAAACCATGAAAGCGTAGGCACGTTTTATCGAGCGTCAAGCACGCGAATGAAATTCTATGTATAAAAGAATTCCACGTTAACCGCACATAGTTAAATCGAATTCATAAAACTCTTCCTAAAAATCTATTTGACAATATTAAATCGCGAGCGTTTGTTGTAGCTATAAAAGGCATTCTCACGTATACACGTGTCTCTTTAATCAGTATTAAATATTATAGTCGCATGAAAAGTATTAAATTGTTGCCGCCGCACGTCTCAAACGTTTGTACTTTTCTTGGAAATAATGTCAATCAAACTTTTCGACTCACGTTTCTCGACATAATTTGATGAAACGATTTGGCAACTGTCACGAGAAAAATTTCTAGTTGAACGTTGGTTCGTTGGATAATGTAACTTCACGAAGAATCTGTGTCTACAAGCAGCGATTCTTAAACTCATTAAATCTTCAGTTTCAAATCTTACAATCCGAATTCACAATCATCATTATTCGTAATTCATCTGTCACATTCATCATTGTTAAACTGAACAAGATTTAAGCTGCAAATCGACGTCCAATAAATGTCGATTTAACAGCTCGTCAAACTCTGAACAATTTTACACGATTATATATGCCGATCATTCTACCGAATGATACTTGTACCTAATCAATTGCTTCGTACGTGCTGCAATGAATACATATAATGGAGTGTTAATATCCACCGTGTATTAAATTTATATTAAACCAGAACGGAACTCGTGCCAAATTTCTCAAGGTTGTTGGATAAATCGCGCAACCATCCCAGGCCCCGCGCGTTTTTATTATTTTATTGCCGTTACACGTTTTAAAGGAAGACGTTTACGAGCGGGAGTTACGACCTGGCAGGAACAGAAGGGCCTCGCGTATAGCGATAACTAGTCCTTTAACGTTCGGGAACTCCATATTATCGAGTGGCAAAGGGAACGCGGAGTTACGATCCTCGGGGGCCGAATTGAATATTTCGAAGATTTACGTCTGTCCCTTCTTTATTGGCGAACTCGAGTTCTGCCACGGAGTTTCTGGCGGACAATAAATGTGACGAGGA